AAAAAAAAAAAAAAAAACACATTCAATAATCACATTGTTCATATATTATTTCTCTCTATTCTTTGTCCATGAATGTCATGTATTATGACATATTTTCATTCATTAAAATCCATGGTTCATGTTTTCTTTCTAAAAAATAACATAAAATATGGCATCCATGGATGAAGAAATAGAAAGAATAATATATAAACAATGTGTTAATTGAATGGAAGAAATTACTAAATAAAAAAAATGATTTTAGTAAGCACAAGATGCACTTTACGTAATAATCCTCATTACTAAGATAACTTATATTTTAATCATTTCTAATAACTTTGTTATTGTGTACTTATATTATTAATTAGAGAATCAATAACATATATACCAGCGATTTTCAAAACAAACATCATCTATGAAATGATTAATCTAAACTTGTATTATTTTATGTTATCGGTCAAGAAGTAACCTTAAATTTATTAAGAAAACAAAATAGATGTGTGGAAACAGTTTTGTATATTTTGTAACATGCATGAGTAAAAAGTGTAATATTTTGTTATTCTCTTGCACTGTAAGAACGTCCATCATTATCACTATTATAAGATGAATTTGTCAATACTTCCACTACATAAAAGATGGGCAATGAGGCTAGACCAACAAAAAAATGAGTTTCTATTTTTATTTGTGTCTTTTTCAAGTTGCGTTAGTCATGGCACTGTCCATAATCGACGCTAATGAAAAATTTTCATTAAAAAAACTTTTAATATGTGTATCAGTTAAACAGAAACAGTTTTTTTGTTATCTTTCTAACTTGATTCAACCATATTAGTGTGACAATTGAGAAAGAAATTGTTTATGCAATATTTTTATAATTAAAATATAAAATAAAATTAATAATATACAATGAAGAAAATTAGAAGAAGAAAAAAATGTACACATATAATGATATAACTATCTTTTGATTGACATGAGTAGTCTGTCTACATATATGTATTATATATATATCCTCTGAAAGAAATGAAGGTACACGGGCAGAGTAGTAGAGTAAAGCGAGAGAAAAGAGAATGTGGATTTGGTTACTAGCCAAAATGATGATATTCTCTAGAAATTAAAACAAGAAAGCATTCATATTGCCAAAAACAGGTACAGCTAGCATACCAATATTACACATTAAAGGCACCGTAGCCAGAATCATAGATAAAGTTCTTTAGTCTCTCAGATATCCTCGCAGCTCCTTTCGCCGATTCCCCGTCCTGAACAATACTCAGCAAAGATCAATCACTGTTCCAATTACAATTTATATGTTTTAATAGAATCAATTTTTAACTTCTAAATCATGATCAAACATTGAAACTATTTATTTTTTGCATTTCAACGTAATTCATTTGTGTAGAATGGAAGTTAAATGGCTCACTTGACAGTGTATTGAATGGAAAACTGCATCTCCAATAACTTTATAACTGGCATTAACGATATCCACTTCTTCTTCACCAAGAACGCGAATGATTTCACTGAACATGAACTGAGAATCCAACCCAGTTATTAGAACAACCTCTAAGGCTGAACCCATTTGTTGGATCTCAATCCGTGGAGATTTTAACCCCACGCTTTTTCCTCCATACATTCTCCCATTTGACCTTTCATTTCCCAGTAGCATGTTCTTCTTGTCCTTCAGTTTCTCCGCATTAATCTGTAATTTCTTTATGTATTCTGCGGCTTCTTCTAGCTGATCCGGCAGTGAAATAGACTCCTACAACATATTCAAACAAAAGAGTAATCATTTGTCAAAACTATTGTTGCTCACCACATAATAGTTTGCCTGTGTACATTATTATATAAGTAACTATGTTCTATAAGTTGTTGGTCTGAATAATTCTGAACCCAATCCTTCTAAGAAAGGTTTCAGATTAAGTCTTCTAAATGAAATAAAAGTTGTTAGGAAAAGAAATCTTACTAAAGATAATTAATCAAAATTTTCGACATATATGTTGGTTTTTAATGAAACTAGTAAGTAATTCTTACCAATAATATTGTTAAAAAAATATATAATATAAGAAACTAAGACAGGAAGGGGTGGAGTGAACCCTTGATCTTTGATGAGGCACAAGAGAGTTGAGTTTCCGGAAGAGAGTTTTCATTTGGTTTCTTCTATTCCTCTCGATGAATTTTCTGTCAACTTTGGATGGACTAGGGTTGTTCTCCATATCAATATTGTTAGTGGATTGCTGTAGTTCGATCAACTTCAACAGCAGAAAATACTCATCCCATGGAAAGAGAACGCTTCTCGTATAATGGTGTCAGTTGCTTGGAATCGTTAATGTCTTTTAGAAAAGCAAGATAATGTCATTAGATGCTACTGATCAAAGCTCAGTGATTGGGAGGGTGGTGGGGACTCATTGTCTTGGCCCTAGCTACCTTTGCCCGTATATCTTAAATTTAACTGTTTCTTTTTCGGTAGTAAAACTTTTTTTAAGTGAAGAATTAAATTGTTTGTAACAAACATAAGATAAATGTTATTGGAAGTTTTTTTGATATTTTTATGAATACTTGAAATGTAAAAACTAATTTCAACATTATAATGAAATATGTTGGGAGTTTAATTTCATCAAAACATCTTCTAATATTAATAAATAAGCTTTAATTTAGTTATAATTAACAAATTAACATTCAGCTCATAAATATGATCAAATCTTAATCCATTATAAATTAGAGTTTAAGAGGGGTGTATTGGATTAGGATTTTAAAAGACTTTTTTAGTTAAAAAAAATCCTACGTATTTTAAAAGATTTTGCAGGATTTTCATGACTTTTAAGATTTTGCAGGATTCTACAAGACTTAAAATCAGGATTTTAATGGATTCTGCAAGACTTTTAAATCAGGATTTTAATGGATTCTATGGGATTTTGTAGAATTTTCATGAATTTTTGACATTTGATAAGATTTCAAAAAAAATTTCATACATTCAAATTTAAAGAGTTAAAGACAAAAATAATAAAAAAAAAATAATGTCTAGATAATTAATAATAATAATAATAATAATAATAATTCTCCATAATATCTTGTCCTCTTAAATAGCATTCACCCACATATCCATATATATACTAGTCCTCCAAGCATTAGCGTATTTTCACTCTTGTTCCTGGATTTGAATAATAGGTTCAAAAGTATAATCTTCATTAATTGGTAACGTTGAAGATGAAGATTCATCCACCGCTTCAATTGGAAATTCATCAGAACGACATTCTTTACGTAGAAAATTATGTAGTGTTACACATACTAACACAAGTTCTACTCGTGTCTTAAATAAAAATGGAGATGCTGACTTAAAAATTGTGAACCTTGATTTAAAAATACCAAATATTTTCTCGATCACATTCCTTAAAGACGCATGACAAAGATTGAACAATTCTTTCTCATTTTCAGGGTGATTACCCTGACCTGCAAAATCTTGTAGATGATACCTTACACCTCGAAATGGAGCTAAAAATTGGCGTCGATTAGGAAATCCACAATCCACCAAAAAAATAGTTACCTAATTACATATGCAATATATATAATATTAGTATAATAATAATAATAATAATTATTATTATTATTATTATTTTT